TTTCTTTGCTTATTTTCGTACCCCATTTAAATAATATCAAAACATAAATATTAAAAATATATAAACATATTAATTACATATTTTAATGAATTTGATTCAATTGATTTTAGTAATCCTCATAAATATAATTTACAAAAGAAATTAAGAAATAATAGAGAAATAATACATGTTATATTAACAATAAATTGATTAATTCACAAAGAGTTAGTAAGGAGATTAAAAGCACTGAAATCTTTAAATATAAATGGTTTATAACCCATTGTGATAGATGACGTCAGCAGTCACAATTTATAGTAAATAATTAATAGTAAAAATACTATTTATTATTATACTTGATATGAGGTTATTACTTATTGTCCCAAATATTTATAGGTGTTTCACGTATGAAAACGGGATTTCATTCGTAATGAACACCTTGAGTGGAACATGTCCAAAGAATAGTTAAATAAACTATTAAGAATAATACTATACTAATATTTAATGACCCTACCATCTAGATATGGTCATTAGATCAAACAATGTACGGAACTCCAAATAGATGTACTCGAGATGTATCAGAAGAAGAAACCGAAATAGTCGATAGACCCATCTCACTCAAAGATGTTGTTCAGCTTATTAATGACATTTCAGTAGTTGCTGAAAATTGTAATATATTAGCACGGGGATCAGAATTATCACTTGGGGAATATCCCCTCATTTCAATGAAACTAATTTTAGAAGGACATATTAAATCCATAGATGAGATAGATGAAAGTATTAAAATATTCAAGAAGAACAATGTTCTTCTTATTAATAAAATAAAAGAAAGTATTAGAAGAGAAAACAGAGAGAAGAGAATCGATGAAGCGGAGAAGAAAAAGAAAGAAGAAGAGACAAAACCAGAGAGGAGAAAAACCAGACCTCTCTAGTTTAATTTAATTTAATTAATTTTAAAATTTTGTTATTTATTTTTGTTATTCAAAATTTTAAAAAAGAAAATAATTTGTTATTTAAACAATAAGCAATAAGCAATAATAAAATAAAATAAAAAGGAATAAAAAACATTCAATTAAAGTGCTCAATATCAGGAATATATCTGCCTGAATAAAGTGTATTGAGTAAGAATAAAAGAGGACCACAATCCATAATGGTGGAATAAATATCCACCATTATGTAGTCGAGCCATTTATTCATTTAGTCCGAGTACTTTAAATGGTACTTATGATCCCAAACTCGGAACCAATAAATTAAACCATATAATACTATTTCAGTATTATTATCATTGGCTCGACTGAGTTGGGACTTTACTTCCCTGGCAATAGCCGAGAGTAGTACAGAAAGACGTGTCCTTCTAAAAGTACCACTAAAAGACATTGAATGCTAAAATATTATTGCTGTTTAAATAACAAATTAAATGGCTGATATGAGGTAGTGTATGAGGTAATGATTGACTTTTATACTATACTTATAATAAAAATATAATATAATAAAAATAGAAAATGTCTGTTTTGTCTCTCCATCTGTCTGAATGCCTGTTTCATCTAAATATTTAAACTGTTTAAGAAATAAGAATACCATACCAGACAATGGATACAGAAGATAAAATTGAAGCCACAAAAATCGAAAATATAAATATAGTCTCTTTAAAAGACTATTTTATCGCATTGGATGAATTAGAAGACATCTGCGATGATCTCGTCGAATGCTACAAGAAGGAGGAGAAATATTATTTAGAAGAAGATAAATTTAATATGATATTAGAAGAGGAGAGTGAATTAGTCGAAGCTCTATTTGAAATGTCTTCTGATATTAAAAAGGAATTTAAAGATATTTTGGATGCCTTTAGAATAAGAGCAACAGAAAGGCAAAGAATAAGAAGAGTTGCAATTTCAAGGGAATTATCCAAGAAGCCAAGAGCTCCAAAAGAAAATTAAAATTAATTTAATTCTTTTTAATATTATTTTGTTTATTAAATAAAAAATAAAAAAATAAAAAATAGTAAATTAATTATTATTCCAAATCATTAACGAAATGGAAATTTTCAAGTAATTCTAATAAACCTCCTAGTTTATTAAATCGTTGATCCTTAGTGCAAGAATCGACGAAACCTGTAAGGTAATAAAATAAAACATCACTATAATTATAGTGTGTCTCCTCGAATCTCCTCATAAAATAGAGGATAGAATAGATTAGACACTTGGTGTCCAAATCCAAACTATCACTCTCGAGGAGACCTTTACAGGTTTCGTCGATGTCTTGCACAATGCTAGACAAGAGAGGGAACATCGAATAAAATAAAAAGTATTCCAGTTTAAATAACACATGAAACGTGTAAACAACACGACAAACAGACACTTAAAGAGGAATTTCTAAATTAATTGAATTAAATTTTTATTATTCCTTATAGTTTAAAAATCATTTTCTACCTCATACATTACCTCATACATACAATAAACAGACAAAATAGAAAATTCCGAATGATATAAATAGTTCAACTCGTTACTATCAAATCATCCAACTACATGACAGAGTCACAGAAAAGGTATTACGAATTTAAAGCCATGCACGGCTTTATTACAATAAACATGACACCAAACACCAAAACTCCAAATAAAGAATTCCTGAAAAACGCGATTGAACAGTGGTGCTCAACAAAAAACAAGCGAGCCCATATAAAATATTTAGCCATCGGAAAAACAACACAAGGAAATAATAAACATGCTCATGCATTCTTCGAGCTCGAAGAAGTAGCCCACGTCAGAAAAAAGCCTTTTATCCAAATTAATAACGAAAGACACTTCTTACACTTTGAAAAAATAACCGAAAACAAAAACTACGATGGATCTTTCAATGCTATTATAGAATATCTGAAGAGACAAGGAGAAAAACATCCCAATGAAGGAGCGGTATTTGAAGAAATAGGAAAGATGGATAAGAATAAAGGGAGATTGGGAGATATAGACATAGGAAAAGCACTCCGAATGCCAGACCTAGAAGAAGCGCATGCCTATTTAAAAAACATAAGTTTAAAGGGATATATGAATAACGTAGCCAAGTTTGATACTGTATGGGCTCAAGAGCACAGTCGAGATAACTATGAGAGAATAAAAATCAAACTTATGCCTTGGAAGGAAGATAACCCAGTCGTAAAAAACAGCTGTGTCTGGTTAAATTCCGCTTTAAGTGGTAAAACGAAAAGAGTGAAAACTTTAGTAATCGTGAGTAATACGAAAATGGGGAAAACAGAATTCATAAACGATTTACTAAAAAATTTAAGAGTAGATGAATTCCGAGGCAGATTTATGATGGATGGTCATAATGAAAGCTTAAAATATGACATCAGATTATTTGACGATGCTAACCTTAATGACATCATTTGGCCAGAATTTAAATCGCTTATAAGTACGAGAGGTGAACAGATAACCATCAATGTGAAATACTCACATGCTAGAGTTACTTCCATACCAACTGTTTTAGTCTTAAATCCTGGAAGTTGGAACGCTCTTCAACGAACAGCCAAAGAGTTCGAAGACTTCGATTGGTTGGAGAAAAACACAGTAGTACTCCAAACTAATGAGAAATTATATATTGAACCACCACCTAAGGAAGAATCAGTACAAGATAAAAGTAAATATGATGGATTAGATCCAAAACTAGTTGAAATGCTATTGGAGAATGAAGTTGAAGAAGATGTTAGTTTAGATGATATGGGAGATGATACAATTGATGATTTAAATGATATAATAGAAGAATTAGAAGAAGAAAGTATGCCTCCTCCTGTAGCACTTGAAGAACCAAAGCCAGTAGAAGAAAACAGAGAGAAAAGAAAATCTTTAATATTATCTCTGTTAAAAGAGAATGATACAGCAATAATACCACCCAAAGAACCAGATGTTGAATTAACTCAACAAGCTAGAGAATTAGCAAGTAGGTGGTCAGGTGGAAATTTTAATTAACTCTTTTTTGGTTTATCTTTTATTTTTATTTTAATAATGAGTTATTGGTATAGACCAAATGTATTAAAACGAAAATGGGGAAGTTATGGAAATATTCATAACAATCAATACTATGATAATTATAATGATTATTCATTTAACAATGGAATGAATACTACTTATGATCCAGATAATGGAGAAGATGAATATTTTGAAGAAGATGATGTAGATTTACATCCAGATAGTTATGAAGCTAATAATTACTTTGATCCAGACAATGAACCAGAAAGAGTAAATAAACCAGACTTGATTAATGAAGATTATAGTAAGACAGAAGAATCAATATTTGATGATCCAGATTATGAAGAATATAATAAAGAAATGAATGTTAATGAAGACTCAATTAAAGAAGGAGAAGAAGAGAATAACAATGATAATGATAACAGTACAAATATATATGAAATAGTAAATCCAAATAAACCAGAAGAAATACTTACATATGATGATAATACACTCAGAATATTAGAAGATATAATTGATATTAATGATCCAGAACAATTAGGAAATAAATTAGCTATAATTCAACAAGAAATAATAGAAAACAATAATAAATTAGAACAAGAGAATGATAATGTGGAAGATACTACTATACCATTAATATTAACAAATGAAAATAATGATATAATACTAGCAGATAATGTAGAAGAAGATAAAATACCACAACTACTTGAAAAAATAAAAGATAAACCAATGGAAGAAGAAATAGAAATACATAAAGATGAAAAAGAACCAGATAGAAATATTATACCACCTAGACCACCAAGAGAGAATAGAAATACTATCAAACAATGGATAGATAAAAATAGAGATAATTCCAAAAGAAAACATCATTTAGAAGATACCATTGAATATCAAGAAAAGAGAGATTTCGAACGAGGAATACATTTAGAAGAATTACAACAGTTCTTACCATTAGAAGAAAAACAAGAAAGAGAAGAAGCAATAAATGAAACAAAAATAGAACATCCACAAAATGAAGCATTGAACGAAAAAGAAGAAGTTCAAAATAATGAAATAATGAATAATTCATTACCAAATGAAAAAATAGAAGAGAAAAGAGATGAGAAAGAAGAAAAAAGAATCAAAAAACCAGTTATTGTCAAAAAAGAACGAAAACTCAAAGAAGTTAAGAAGTTTGATTCTAAATTTAATTATAAAGAACTCTTCACTGACGTTAAAAACAGAAAACGTGAAGTTGATGAATTAGAAAAAAGATATAGATTACTTACTAAAGACGCATTACACAATTATAAACCAACACAAAAGAAAGAAGAAAATGATTCCAAAAATATTCTACCAGAACAAATTAAACCAATAATAGAACAAGAAGAAGAAAAATTAAGAGTTGAAGACATTCCAAAAGAGTTGACAATACAAGATCAACAAAAATATTGGAATAACTTTAAACATAATGACGAAAACGTTGATGTAAATGAAGAAGAAGAAATAGAAGAAGATATAGAAGAAGTAGAAGAACCAGAAATAGAATATGAGTACGAGTATGAGTTTTGATAATGTACTCCGAAAAGAGATAAATTGAATATTTAAACTATTTATTTTGAACTGTTTAATCATTCATACATGACAACCATAAAAGACTTAATAGCTGACCACGCTATGGGTAAATTTGTATCTATGGATGCAGATGAACTCATAGACACAATGGTCAAGCTAATAAATTCAGTGGAAGAATACACCAAGGAAGAAGAATTAAAAGGATTAAAAAAGCCATATTGGAGCTTGGTGTATAGAATAGCCAGAAAGAAAGGCTTAATGTGGGATAAACCACAGATTAAAAAAGTAAAGACACCAGAAGTACCAAAGAAAGAATACAAAACTAAATTTGTATTAAAAGATAAAAAGAAAGAAGAAGAAAGTAAACCAAAGAAAGAAGATAATTAATTATTTATTATAATATTTAATGTTTCCTTTGATTGTTTTAAAATGATTAATTTTATCATCATCAGGTGATACTCTAAGTAATACCTTTTCATAATCAGTACGATCATCACTTGTTCCCCATCGTTCTAATTGATTATAAACATTCTTCATCATTTCATATTTCTCTTTCCCACTTTCTATTTTATTAAAATGAGGTTGTTTATGTAAATATTGATGCAATCCTTTTCTCTCAAAATCACCTGTTTTAAAGATGGTACCTTTATTATCACTTCTATTTGTTCTTGCACCAATATGAATTTTATGATAATAATCTTTGGATGAATGAGTAGTAATAGCTTCTGGTACTAGAATATCTTGCAACTTTTCATATCTTCTTACTACATTTGGTTCAAATGCAACATCTTCAATTCTCTTCCATAATTCAGGTGGTACTACTCTTCTAATATATGCTTGATTATTATTCAATTGTTCTAAATCTTCATCTACATCATTAATCATTTTTCTCTTTCTATGTGTTTGCATTTCATCTAATGTTTCTTTTCTATTTGGTCGAGGTTGAGTATAATATACTCCTTGATTATTATTCTGTAATCTACCACTCATATACATGGAAGTATTAAATGGTTTATATTTTGTTTGATTACTTCTTGGTATTCCATCATAATTAAATCGTATTGAACCATATGAACCAAATCTTCTTTTATGGAGATTTAATCGTTGTTTTCTCTTCTTAACCAAACACATTAAAATAAAAAGTTAATTAGGAATTAAAGTTTTTACTACTTCTAATACTTCTTCTACTGCATTCATAACATTCCCTTGTCTTCTACTTTCAAAAAATGCAAAGAAACAACTCGCTATTAATAATATACATGATAATAGAAGCATGACTATTTTACGGATAATATTCCATGTACTTTCTTTAAACACTTCTTCGGTACATTTAGACGAGTGATTAGAATCACTGGAGTCTGCACTCATATTATGAATTAATCAGTTCATCTTTATATTCAAATGATCCGTTCTAGAAATAACTGTCCTAATAATACACATGAAGTAGAATTTGTTTTTAATACCCCAATTGAAGTTAAATTAAATAAAGGAATGGGAGTATATACAACTTCTCTTTTTGATTTACTCTTCAATAACACTAATTACAAATCATTCTGTAATTGTTTTAAAAGAGTTAAAATATTTAAAGCATTAATTAGTCTCTCAATAGGTGAAATAAATGTAGAAGAAATAGGATTAAATTTTCCTATTGTTAGTACTACATGGTTTCCAACATATATTCGTTCCAATATTGATCAAGACACTGCAGATGACAAAGATATAAATAAAGTAATTAATATGATTAATTCAAGTACTCACTTACAACAACAAGTCTATTATCCAGGTGGAGCATTTCAAATTAATACAATTATTAAAGCTATGACATTACAAGAACAAAACTATTATGGACCTACTAGAGTAAAAAGATATTGGAAATTTGATAATACTGAACTTCAACCATTTACAAATGAAAATGTAAGTATTCCTTTTTATCCATGGTACTTCATAGGAGTAGAAACACCAAATAGCAATGATAATAAAAGTATTAAATTCAATTGTCAATGGTATATCACTGTTCATTTTGATAGATATATTTGCACTCCAATAGAAGAAGAACAAACAATGAATTTACTTGATTTAAATGTCAATTTAACTAATGAAGAAATCAAATAAAGAGAGACACTCACATATCAAGCAGAAAATAATTCAGCATATGAAAAAGTAACTATAACATTTCCAGAAAAAGAAGAATCTACATTTATTTTAATTATAAAAGATAAACAATTATATTAATTAACTCATTTTTATCATTCATGTCTATCATTAACAAGACAACAAAACAAGAAACTTTAATAAGAAAAGATGAAATAAATAAAAATACATTCAAAGTAACAGTAAATACAGATGATATAACTATCGAAACAACTACAAATGGAATAACAACATTCACCAGTGAAAATTATATTAACAGTATTCAATTAATCACTCAAGTACCTGAACCAAAAATCCAAACAAAAGCAGTTACTATTACTGAAAATGGTTCATACACTATCAGTCCGGATGATAACCTTGATGCACTTGATCATGTTTATGTCACTGCAAATGTACCACAATATAAAATAGATTCTATATCAGTATATCAAAACAATACTTATACATTAGCAACAGTAGCACCAGAAATAATAAATATTACAGAAGACACTGATATTACAGACTTAATACCAGCAGATGGAAATTTACATAAAGTAGTAACTACCTCAACTAGTAATAAATACATAAAAATTACAAAAAAAGAAAATTGTCAATTTATATTATTTAGACTTACTAAAAGTGATGGCTTATTTATATATGAAATGGAAATAGAAAAAACCTTTATTATATACAATTATTTAATATATTATATATTGAAATTAAATACAGAAAGTCCAAATACTGGTCTTATTCGTTTTTGTAAAGGAACAACTATAGAAGAAGCAATTAAACTAATTTCTTATGATTCAGAAAATATTGGTTCTGAAAAAAGTAATGCAAACTTTAAAATGTCATTGAACTCATCTCTACTTTCAGAAAACTTCCCAATAAAATAATTCAATTAATTTAAGCACTAATAAGTTTTTGGTTATCATTTGAAAACAATCCAGTAACAAATGTTTTACTAACAAGTACAACTGGATTCAATACTCCATTTCCAACTGTTCCAGCAGCAACTGGTAATGCACCTGAAGCAATAGTAACTGCAACATCTTCAACTGTTCCACTATAAGCATATAAAAGAGATCCAACTACATCAGTTGATGAACCAGTAGTACTTTTAACATTAATTTTAACTTCTGAATTAGCACCAGTAGAAGTATCAGGTAAGTTAATTCCATAAATATCAAATACATTACTTGCAATAACATAAGTATCAGCATCAGTTGAAATAGTAACAGTATGTGCATTAGTATTAGCATTACCAAATAAATAAGCAGAAATATTATATCCTTTTACTCCAGCACCAAGAGTACCAGCAGTAGCAAATACAACTAAACGTACTCTCATAACACTTGTACCACCTGCATTAATAGTTAAATTTTGATTACTTTGAGATGGAACTACTCCAGTAAATTTATCATAATTCAAATCTATAGCATTAACTTGTGAAATTCCTGCATTATAAAATATATTATTCAAATACATCTTAAATGAATCAACTGTCCATGTATTAGATGAACTTGATAGTTGTCCACCTGTTGTTTGTACCATTGATGTATAAATTGGATTATCTGTAGTAACAACTCCTCCATTGTTAGTTGTAGTCATACTAACAGGAATCATTGCATTATTTGTACCTGATGCAACTGTACCAGCATTAGTATTAGCATAACCAAGTGAATTAGCAGCAGGTGTTGGAATAACACCAAGTGTACTTTTTCTCAATTCTCTAAGTGAAACAACCCATGACCATGTTAAATTAAATACAAGTGTTTGACATGTAGCTGTTTGATTTCCTAAAAGAACAGAAAGTAAGAAATCAGGATTCCATGCTGCATATAAAGTAGATTCAGTTAATACTTCAGCAGTCTTTACTGTTGGAAGATAAATACTCTTCTCTTGTAATGAAGATGCAACAAGTCTTCTTGTAATACCCCATCTAGCTCCTGGATAATATGCTCTACTTACTGCACTTGAATATGAACTCACTTGATAAGGACCTGGTACTATTGGTACATTACTTAATACACCTTGTCCTTCTTGTGTTACTTGACTTGCTACTGCTTTATCTATACCATTTCTATCCCATGCAGTGATAACATTAGGAAATGTCATTGCAGCTTGACCAAATGTATTGTAAACAATTTCAGCTGACACTGACACTCCATCTATTTTAAATTGATCATACATTCCAGCATAATGTTGGAAGAATTCCATGCCGCAAAGCAATTTAGTAACATTCATTACAGTTGTAGCACCATTAGTATTTGCTGGAATAGCTAATTGTACTGTTTCAGTAGCATTCAACACTACTTGAGTTGAATCTCTTTGTTGAAAAGCAGCTTTTAAATTCCCTGCCATAGTACTTCTTAAATTTCTTCTAGTTGAAGTTGGTCTAGTAGCCGTGGCTCTTCTTGTACGTCTCATTTATTTCAATAACTCAGTTGAATCTAAATTCGAGTTTAAATAGCTGAAGCTTATTTGATACATAATATATGATGGATAATGATATCCTGTATTAAAATGATGTATAGACCCGTAAGAAATTAAATAATCGTTTTAGTCGTAATCATAAGGTGAAGAGGATCACAGTAACGTAGTGAATGGGATGACTGAACCTGATTATGATTAAAAAAGATTTTTAATGCTAAAAGGGTCGTAAACTCCCATTATCAATACATACACTCACAATATCATTAATCCATCATCATTAAATTGTGACTGACAGTTGACGTGGCATTTTGTATAATAATTATTGTACCACAATATTATACTAGTCACAATCGTGCGAAGGGCAATATCGTGCTACGCACGATTGTGGTTAGTATAATATTGTGACTACAATAAATATATATATAATTGCCACGTCAGCTGCATGTCACAATGAGTTATAAACCATTTATATTTAAAGATTTCAGTGCTTTTAATCTCCTTACTAACTCTTTGTGAATTAATCAATTTATTGTTAATATAACATGTATTATTTCTCTATTATTTCTTAATTTCTTTTGTAAATTATATTTATGAGGATTACTAAAATCAATTGAATCAAATTCATTAAAATATGTAATTAATATGTTTATATATTTTTAATATTTATGTTTTGATATTATTTAAATGGGGTACGAAAATAAGCAAAGAAATAATGCATCTAAATAATTTACAAAAAAGAAAAAAGATGCAAAATAATTTGCATCCATAGAATATTCCATTTATTATATTTTGCTCCTAAATAAAAATAAAAAAATAAAAAATATGATAAATACAGGAATTGTAAATATTTATGTTTATATTTTATAATCATTTGTATTCATTTTGTATGAAATATTAATGAAATAGATTATTTGATTATTCATATTTATTTTTATTATTTTTATTCTTTTCTTTATATGTTATTTATCTATCGTATTTTTATATTTATTTCTCTGTTTATATTATGTATATCATTGTATTCTTCTTATTATCTATATATTATATTATTCTTATTTTATTATTTTTTATGTTTATATTATTTAGATTTTCTTATTGTTATTCTTTTCTATTTAGTTGTATTTGTTTATTCATCTTATTCATCTTTATCATTTTTATGTTATTATCATTTTATATTTATTCTCTTTTGATTTATATTAATATTAATTTTATCTTTTATACTTTGATTTTATTATTATATCATTTTTTAGCATTTCTCGTTTTATTTATCATTTATTCTTATTATTCTTTTGTTTTTCTATATTCAATCTATGTTATATATTCATATCATTTTCATTTATATTTTATCACTTATTATATGTTATAATAACATAACACATATGATTGAATATATAATAAACATCATAATGAAATTATACATATAAATAATAAACATAAAAAAGAGTAAAATATTTTTCATTAATAAAATATTGTTAATCATTTTACACAATTAAATTAGACACTTATTATTGAATATTTCTAATTTTTACATTAAAAATACACTTTTTATTTCTTCTTTTATTATCTATTCTATTTTATTACTCTTTATCTTCTTCTACTTTTTCTTAGTTTCATAATTTTATTTTTCATCACCTTCTACTTCTTATTTCTTTTTATTCTTTTATATCTTTCTCTTCTTTTTCCATTATTTGCTTTTTTCGTTGCCCTTTTTAAGAAATAATCAATTAGTTTAAGTAGCATGAACCAGTAGTTTCATTATAATCATAACTTACTATACTGAGAACATTAGAGAAAGTGAAATCACCTAAGATTCTTTGAAGACCAAATGGCATATTATTTAATAGGATCTGTAGATAATCATTATATTCAATAGAAACAATAGGATGATTAATAGTAAGTGAGGAGTAAGCATTTTCTCCAAATAAGAAGAATGAGTCATTAAGATTAAATGATAAACTACTTTCTAAAGGAACTTGAATTTGACTCTCACTTGTATTACAATACATAATAACATCATATTTTGTTTTCTTATCATTAATTAGAAATAAGAATCCTATTCCATAAATCTTTTCATTAGTATTAGTATTATCATCATTATCATCATTAGATAATTTAACATTAAATCTTAGGTCATAATTAGCCTTTGTTCTAAATAATTCAGTCTTTAAACTAGTCATATCAACATTGATTTAAGATGTGTTACTATTCTCTACTATTGCTGTAGCACTTTTCATATTAGTAGGATCAAATTGAAGAATCTGGTCCACTTTATAGACAGTGATATTTCCAGCATAATCATTTATATCAAAGTTCTTTGCTGTAGGTTTTGGAGTAAGTCCAATTCTTCTTGTGGATGCTAGTGTACGTCTTGATCTCATAATTTTTCTTAGTTTTAGTGAAAAAGAAATAAAAGACAAAGAATAGATTAATTAGATTCTAGTACTATCAATGAATATCTTATATGAGACTGAAGATACATAACATGATAGTTAAATAACCAAGTATCATTTCAGCATTATTCTCAACATGGTTATAGTTATAGTCATAATCTAAATTTAATCCTGGTAATTCATTTTTTGAAGGATCAATATAAAATACATTCTGAGGATATGTTAAACAAACATTTAAGTCGGTAGTGAAATTACTAACAATGTCTAAACAAGATGAATCGGAGTATTCCCTACCTTGGATTGTATTCTTTACTATTGTAAAATTCCACCATCTTCCATTCAGAGGAAAACAGAATTTCTTTTTATTAAGAATATATTGTAAGTTTTTACATCCTTGATCATAATAGAGATAAATAAGAAAATAAGAGTCTCTGATTTCATCAACAGTAGAATAGTTAATTTGAAGAGTACGGTTTTCAATTGGATTAATTGCATTTTTACAGTTTTCCATAGTACTGTAATAAGTAAAATTCATATGTGTATTGTTGTTATAAAAGAAATAAGCAGCATAATCAGTAAAACCAATACGACTACAAGATCAACTTTTTCTTTGTACTTTATTGGAGTATTCATTGATGAATGAGAAATAAGAAGTCAAAATAACCACGTTGTGACTTGCTCAAAGGGTTATGGTGTGACTACCTGATGGTTTTTTCTTTTCATTTTTTTTCTTTATATATAATTTTGAAAAATTAAAAAAATTAATAAAAAATAATGAAAAGTGTTTTGTGACACGTTGTAACTTCTAAAATGTGTTATATAAAAGATTTATATTATTTATAAATAGAATAAAAGAAATGTTATCAAATGTTATTTATACTATTCTCTTCATTTTGTTATTTTTGTTATTCTATGTTTTTTTTTTGGAAAATCAGTTTTGAAATGTAAATTTAACAAATTCTTTTCATTTTGGAATTCTCTCTTTTCTTATGTTATCTGCATTCATGTTAATATCTCTTCTAAATACTCTGAACTCATATTATCTTCTTTCTCACTTTCATTTTCTCTTCCTGACTTCTTTCTTTTGTATGAAATCTGTCTTTTTCACTATATTTCTAACTATTACATCTTCTCCTTTGAAATTTTCTTTGAATTTCTTGATGTTGTTATCAATCACTTTGTTTATGTCTTTATCCTCCATCACTCCTTTCTTCATCCTTCCTCTTTTGTATTCTACTTCTTTCTATATCACTTCTTCTCCTTTCATTTCTTCTAAAATCTCTTCTAATTACTCCGAATTTATCTCTTCTTCATCTTTTCCTTTACTCATTTCCTCTTTTTAACTTCTTCTTATTTTCTTCATTCTATTTTCTTTTTAAATCCTTATTCAATTAGTATGGCTTTCTTGTATAGGCAATTGTAATCTCTGCTCTAATAAATGCTTGATAGTTCAAAATTAACTTTCCTCCTACTGGCGTATCTACATACTTGTTATCTTCACTTGGTTCTGGTTTATGTTGCATCTTTCCTTTACAATTATATTTCTCTTCAACTCCTTCTTTCTTCTTTCTTCTCTATTACTGAAAGCATAGTACTTGTATTGTCATTCTTTCTTGAAATGTACTTTGTTTGAAGTCTTCTTTTCTAATAGACATTGCTATATGTCCTAATTGTAACACTACATTGGATTCTTTATTAATGACTCATCTATTCCTGTTCCTCTACTGATTACTTCTTTATTTACAGTTTGTATCTTATCATCAGTGTTAATTACTGTCTTGTAGATATTCTTACTCTTGAAATTGGAGCGAATTGTAGAATTAGACTTTGCTGATAAATATATTCCTGTAAAGATTAATTCATTCATTTTTGTTGCATCTCCTTCGTTATATGTATTTCCTGCGAATGCTTGGACATACATTGGATAGTCTCCTGATATATACCACTCAATACTTTGATTTACAATCATACTATTTTGATAATATGAATTAATTGTTATATTGATGTCTTTAATTTGAAACATCTCTGGGTTGATTTTGTCCCAATCTGTTCCTTGTCCTAATATTAATGGGACTATAACCATCTCTCTATCATCTTCTGAATCTGCTACATTACATTCAATTCTAACTGAATATGTTTGGCATACAGTTCCCTCTGATAAATTCTTTGGATTCATTTTTCTTTCTGAATTATATAGTTATTCTCAATCTCTTAAATATCTCAAATCTCTTATTTTTATCTCTCATTTCAATTTGATAGATGTTCATTTATTAGTTAGATCCCATATTCTTCTATTCTTATCAATGGGTTTCTATCTACTCTCCTAAGTAAAGTCATTCCTAAGGTTTTAAACGTCATTACTTATGCTGGTCAAGGAATAGTCCAAGGAATCCAGAAAAACAGTTTTGATTGTTACAGACTCCAATTAGATGACTATCCTATTCACAATGCTGATTTCCATCATTTAGATGGTCCTATAGATGAAAATGAAGTTGGGAAGAACAAGTCTTACAACAACATGTTGGTGCTAATAAAGAACAAGTTGCAGGTGGATTAATTGCTGCTAGAGAAATGTCCAATGGTGTCTTATACAGTGTACTCACTAATTGTAAAGCTGAAACTCTCACATTAGAAGCCAATTTATCTTTCTATTATTCTAGGACCAGTAAATCATGGAGTGAAAAAGATGGTGTTCCTGTTATTGGTGCTGATGACTATTGTTATACTCATCTCATTCATAAATTGTTCAGAAATTATGACAAACTAAAACAATATGATGCATTTGTATTGAATTTAATTATTGTTCAATCAACACAATTACCAACAAGTATCACCGGAACTACCATTTCATTCTATCAATTAAGTAAAGACACGAGAAAGTTGAAGAATGCAATTATTAAAAGTGCAGAGAATCATCAGTTTACAATAGAATATATTATGTAATTAAAAATGTCAATCCTGGTCGATTCAGAATTACTAAAGAAGGATTTGAACCAGAAGATTTCACAATTGAACCAAATAAACATATTCTTACAGAATTCTTAAATAAGTATGACAACACTGATAAAGACACTAATGGAGCATTTTTGTCATATGGGACAGTATGTTTTGTAAAAGAGAAACTTTGCGAGAATGATGATGGTATTCAATTCAATGTTAAAATGCAATTCATTGGATTTAGACAACAAAGTCTTGATGACATTGATGATGATAGAATTACAATAGGATTTACAACAACAAATTATCTTCCAAAGAAATTCTTAAAGAAGAAAAATCTCAATTAATAGGATTAAACTAATTGAATTTGAATTCATTAATCAATTAAAGAATGGTTCTAATTAATGATTAAAACCATGAATGAATTAATGTAGATGAATTGACATTCACATATTTTTCATCACCTATTTGTTTATTTAACCAATTAACTACATACTCTTGAGTATAATCAAATGGACTCTTTTCTAATTCAGTCATTTTTTGTATTGCCCATCAATATCCTTTGTTTTCTTGTTTCATTTGTTAACTTCTTTGTTCTTTATGTGATATACTAAAGACTGTAATATTTGATTTCAATATACATATTATCTTCATTATAATGATAGTCAAGTGTTGGATTTTTAATTATTCTATCTATATGAAAATGCATGATTCATCAGGTTGAAAGAAACCTCCTGAATGACAACATTCAAAAAACGTTGTCACATGTTTTACATTATTATTAAATAGTAAATGTGTGATTTGTGTGTCTCGAATATATGACTTCTCATTCAACTTGATTGCTTCTTCATCTTCATAACTAATTCAACGTATATTAAAATACATATAGATAGACTTCTATTTTCTCTCTATTCACTAAATACATTTGAATTAAATTCATTACACTACTACTAATGTCAGTGTCTTTTGATTTGTCTATTTTTGTGAAGATAATGTTTTGTGTATATGGACAATTGTGTTTACTTGCTCATTGTTTATACCAGTAAATCTGTTGTTTTAGACTTTTGTTAATTTCTCCAATATGACGATCTATTATTCCAATAAATTGTATGAACTAATATTACTAGTTCTTATGGATTTTAGACAACTAACTAGATACACTTATAGACGAAATCATTCATTGTATAAATGTAAACAAACAAAGGCATTTTTGTCAAGTATCAAGAATGACATTCTTAAATGTAACTTCCATACTAAGATGAAGCTGGTCAAATTGAATGAAAAGAAAACCATGTATCTGACAGACGAACATCCAAATTACTTAATAAGTTCAGTCACTGGAAGTTCACTCCAACTCTTTCCAACTCAATCAAGTAATATTCTATCATTTATTCATAAAGGGACAGCTAATGTTCAATTAGGCAAAGAATTGAAATTTAGATTTGGACACTATAAGAATTCTAAGAGTTATTATCAAGACTCAACCAGTTACAAACGTGTTTGTAGGAAATCAGAATCTCATTCAAACAGTAAATTGTTTCTATTCGATGAATAATTCAATTGAAACACCAAGTGCTCAATACCAAATTCAACCAACGTATGACAAAGGACTTCAAAATTACAAACAGAAATCCACATTTAATAATAATGAATCATTTACATTAGTGATAGAGAAACCACATACAATAAGTACAGACTCTCCAATAGTCCATTCATATAAAACTACATGGTCATTAAGTGAACAAACAATCTTTGCATTGAATGATGATGGATGACAAAGTCAAAGATCTAATGAACAAGAAGATTAATATAATGAATAAGAATATGAGTATCTTCATGATAAATTATGAATCATCAATAGTTCAATATATAGTGCTAGTGTATCCTAGCAACGAAAAAAAAAAACAAATAACAGAAAAATGAAGTTAAGAAGAAAGCAGAAGTAGATAATGAAAGTAGAAAATAGAAGAAGATAAAGAGTAATAAAATAGAATAGATAATAAAAGAAGAAAAAAGAAGAAATAAATTGTGTATTTTTTATTGTAAAAAATAGAAATATTCAATAAAAGTGTCTAATATAATTATGTAAAATAATTAATATTGTTTTATTGATGAAAATTATTTTATTCTTTCTATGTTTATTATTTATATGTATAATTTCATTATGATGTTTATTATATATTCAATCATATGTGTTATGTTATTATAACATATAATAAGTGATAAAATATAAATGAATATGTGATATAGAATATAAAACAAAAGAATAATAAGAATAAATGATAAATAAAATGAGAAATGATAATCAATGATATAATAATAAAATCAAAGTATAAAAGATAAAAATAATATAAAACAAATCAGAGTAAATATAAATGATAAGAATATAAATATGATAAATATGAATATTCAATATAAGAAAGTACATATAAATAAAAATGAATAGAAACAATTAAATATGATTCATCAAATAATATATTTCATTAATATTTAATATCAATTGAATACAAGTTATTATAAAATATAAACATAAATATTTACAATTCCTGTATTTATCATATTTTTTTATTTTTTATTTTTTTATGAGCAAAATATAATAAGTGGAAAAATCTAATGATGCAAAATATTTTGCATCTTTTTTTCATTTTTGTAATTTATTTAGATTCATTATTTCTTTGCTTATTTTCGTTCCCTTTTTATTTCTTCTTTTTGAGTTTAATTTGTTGTTAATTCTTTTTAATATGTTCTACTTGCTCTTATTGTGTATTTAAACAAATGATAGAAGAAGCAAAAGGATTAAATATTAATAAAGGATTAATGTGTTTAATTGATTTAATTCAACACAAAGAAAATTGGATTCCTTCAGAATGTATCAAATATGGAATGTATCGTGATTTTACAACAAATCGAGTAGAAGGTTTCTTTGGACATTTAAAAAAAATAATTAATCATAATAATCTTCCTTTATATTTATTAACAGACAATATTTATGCACTTGCAAATACAATGTTTAGTAATATAATTAGGATTGATCTTCCTGATGAAATTATAGATAAAAATGTTCCTCATTTTAATTTATTGACTGAATTTTCAAAGAAAGTCTTAAAATCTCAATACAACATATTAAATAATAATGTAATATGTGATGACACTCATTATTGTATTAGTTGTCAAATAAGAAATGTTAATCCTAAAGTAGCATAGCCTTGTTATCATTTGATGAAAGAAAGAAAAACTATGTCATTAAAATATCTTATTAATTATGATGACCTTCCATCAGTTGCTTTTAAATCAAAAGAAATTAAAGTAAATTGGACTGATAAATCAATTTCTAATATTGATTTACCAAATACTTATACTTTGATAGCAAATGTAATTGTAAATAAAATAAAACATAATACAAATGTACATCCAAGGAATAAAGTTGATATTAGGAAAAGAACTTCAAAAGAAGTATTTTTTAATGAAATCGCACCATTTCAATTGAAGAATGGTGGTTTTTATACTCAAAGAATCAAAGAAATTTTGTAGTAAGAAAATAGATACAAAATAAATGTATCTTCTTGCATACTTAAACTTTGCAGAACTTTTTTGAAGAATATACCGCTCTAACATAATGGTGAAAATTATTTTGCAACTTTATTTAATATAGAATAACTTATTTTAAATGTCTTTAAATATTTTCCTATTTTAATTGTTTGTTTTTAATGATTATTATATTTCTTCTTTATTTTCTTGTTTTAATATGATTATAACTTTATATTCTTATGATTATTTTCAATTGTACTATCATCAATTACAAACAATTCATTTTCATTGTTAATAAACTTATTATCATTTATACTTCTATTCTATCAACTATTACTACTATCTTTATTTCTATTCTTTTATTATCATTGATATCCATTCATTTGAAATATTAATCATTGGTAATCTTATAGTATTAAGTATGTTGTTTTCTAACAAAATACAATATCATAATCAGAATATAACTAGTGGGTTCAAGGTTTGGATAATTTTAATGTTTTATGTGGTATCTGTGAAATATTATTTGTGTTTGATAATTATTAGTAAAAATCACATACGATTGATTTACTTATGATTATGATTTTCTTCATGTTGAGAAGTGGATGTCTCAATTTATTCAACATGTTTTATTTCATTTGAAATGTTGTGTCTTCAAACATGTTCTGCATAATTTGTTCTTCATTTAAGTTGTTCTTTGACTTTTAATTTGAATTGAATGAGCATTAAATTTCTTCATTCTTTATAATGTTATTATAAGAAGAATATACAAATAATACTGTGTTTATGCCTCTCTCTTTTATCTTCACATCAATTTAAACATTCCCTTTTCTTGTTATCACACCTTGTATTCACATCATTTCTATCATTATTAAATATATCATGTCATATTAATTAATAACACTCTCATCATACTAATTAATTATTAATCATAGGAAATATTCATATTTATTAACAAATAAGAATCCTTATTAATTAATGCTTCTTATTAGTTTTTAATGGATAATCAACAATAATAAATAATAACCAATTTGTCTTGAATGGTAAATTATCTCACAAAACAACATCATAACTAGAAATTAAGTGTTGATTAAAGCTTATACGTATTATGGTTGTATGCTACCTCTGATGTGTCATTTTCGATTCTTATTTGAAATTTATTAAAAAATAAAAATAAAATGAAACTAACAATTTATATTAAACTACAAACTTATTCAGCAAATTCTCTCTTACTAAGTTTTTCAAAGTGTTCACAGACTGGTTGGAAGATCTTCTTCACATCCATTGAAACACTTTTTATTTGTTTTTATCATTTTCTTTAAAGTGTTCAGCATTCTCATCCTTTCTTTTCTAAAAGTTCAATTCATTTTCTCAAAACCAACGTATCAAAATGTATTTGATGTATTCATTTTGTTGATTTTTCATTCTTATCATCACAATTTCAACTCTTATTTTTCTCTTATTTTCTTCAATAAATATTTCTGAGTCAAGAATAGACTTACTCATCTTTCCTGATTTAGTGCCTTTAAAACAAATAAACTTATGGTAATTCAATTTATTTATTTGATTTGTCTAATTTTATCATTATATTCACGTGCAATATTGTTACATTTTCTCGAATTAACTCCGACTCGTTGAATATCAGTACATGCATACAACTTTATAAATGTTGACTAATTGATAACTTATCTGAATTTCTTAGTTCACTGGTTCAAATCTAACAAATCAAATTTTTGTTAAACAAGTTAATTATGAATAACAAAAATAATTTTGTACTATATTTAGGCACTTATATAATTTATGTGTATGATTGATAATTCACTTAAATGTTGTGATGAAATTATTTCTTTAATGTTGGATTATTCTTTCATTGGTTAAGATTTATCATTTCTTACAAATAAACATTTTCCTTTTATTATTATTCATATATATGAATTTTTGTGTTTCTTTTTCTTCATGAATCATACCTTACTATCATATTTCTACATTCATTGCTAGAATTTGTTCCATTTAGTGAATCATTTTGATTTATTCATTTTACTTTATCTATTTCTATTTTATCATACTCTTCTTTACTTTTACTCTTGTCTCTTTCACTTCTTTCATTTTTCATTGAACATTGCTTTTTGTTGATTTCTTCAACTTTAAATATCTTTTCATATGTTTGTCTTTGAACAGTCTAAACATTAATTCATCATCAAAATCAAATTTTTTACTAATGTTATAAGACTTTCTTATAACTAATTTCTGTGTTATAATTAATTTAAGACACTTTCATCATTTAATTTTATTTTAAATATATATTTTAGATTATCAGAAGGCAATAAATTTTATATGACATATAAATGTTTAATATTTCATTAGATTGTGATAGATGTGTTTTCTTTAATAATTCAATGTTATTTTCACTTGGAATGTATTATATAATGAAACAACATATACTTTCTGTATAAATCTAATCCTCTCATTGACATTACTCACGTAAATTTCATACTATTTTCTAAATTTCAAAATAAATACAATCATTTCTTTTGATTTTTCTTTGAATGAACGTAGTGATTTATGGTTAATAAAGATAAAATAACAAGTAATTCATTTTGAATAATACTGAAAATGAAAAATTGATTATAGATAAAGTAGACAATTTGTCAACAAATCATTTTGTTATGGAGACTAATGGAAATGGATTTTCCAACCACTTATTAGACTGTATTAATGAGAATTTTTGTACTGTTAAATCCAAACAGACATGTAATAATTATAAATAGCATATTTTGAAATGAATTGATTCTTCTCATAAAAAGATTCTTTTTATCTACTTTTTGAAATAAAAACAATAAAAATAAAGAAAAACAAATAAAATTTTGATATATCGAGATGCAAAATTAATCGGAGCAAAATAATTTGCAACTAATTTTAATGCACCTCCAACAAGAAAATTCAAATCAGAAAGAAAAATGGCAACGAAAAAAGGCAAATAATTGAAAAAGAAGAGAATGAATGATATAAAAGAATAAAAGTAGAAAATAGTAAATCAAAAAGAAATAATAAAATATGAAAAACATGATGAAATATATTTTTTAATGCAGAAAATATAAATATCAAATAAAAGTGTATGTTTTAATTATTTAAAATAATTGGTATTGTTTTATTGATGAAAAATATATTATTCTTTTTGTATTTTATTTAGATATATTATTTCTTTGATTATTTTTCTTCCAGAAATATATTATATAGATGGTAAAACAATATAAAAAGAATTAGAGAATAAACAAAGTATATAATAATAAAATGAAAGAAATAAATGAAAGAATGTGTTTAGAAATAAACAAAATATAAAATAACAAGAAGAATAAAATAAAGAATATAAAACAAACAAAATATAAAGTTGTAATAAAGCAATAATAGTAATAGAAATTTTTAATATATCACAAAGAATAAGTAGAAAAGAATAACAGAAAAGAAGAAGATAACCAAAAGAAAATTCAATAAAAGAATAAAATATACAAACAGACATATCAAAATATAATGTAATATTTAATTCAATTGATATAGATTCAAAAAGAAATTAAATAAATGATGAAATAATACAGAAAAAGAATGAATAAATAAAGAGAACAATAAATATAAATTAATTATTATTTAATTCATATTTAAATAAATTTTAATTGGATAATGAATTAAATTAATTGAATATAGTTTATTTTCTATTTAAATATTATTATTCATTTTATTTATTTTTTATATTATTTTTATTATCTTTTTATATTATTTTTCTATGGTACAATTTGACAATAGTGTGATACATCATATAATGCCTACGGTCGAAATTTGACCATTTGTTATATATAACATTTATTTCATATTTTATTTATAGAATATTCTATTTTTAGATAATCACAATTGTTGTTTTAAATATCATTTATTTTTATTACCTCATAACTAATAATTATTGGTCTCATATCTCTTAATTTCACCTCCAAATTCAACTCTAATCTTTTAAAGTTCGCCTCTACTATTTAATTAAAGTATATTTTTAATCAATCTCAAAATGTTTATTAATCATTAGTGAATCAAACTTATCATACTATGACTAGTGTAAATTCATTCGAAGAGAATTTAATTAAATATGAAAATGAAATGTGTCAGAATGATCCTATTGAACGATTCATGTATGTACAAAATGAATTAAAAGAATTTAATGAAGAGAATTTAATAAATATTACACCTGACAATATTTCATTATCAAACAAATTCATTAAATTCATTAAATTAAATGAAAATTATACTTCGCTTAAAAAACCAATAAAAGAAGCATCATCTATATTTACGGTGAATCGTTCTTATTATTTGAGACGCAATCCACTTAAAAGATATCCTAAATATGCCTGCGTGTCTTTAAATTCTCACTTTATCAAACTATTTAATAAAATAAATAATGTTATTGAAGATTTTAAATCACTAAAGAAAAACTTTCTGAAAATTTTGATTTTCATTATACTAATACCTCTTATATAGAACATATAATTTCTAAAGTCTCTGAATTTATATCCAATTTAAAATTACTTAAAAAAAGTGTATTGACAAAGATTAGTATTAGTGTAATCATGACAATGGGGTTGTGTGTTAAAAAAATCAAATTGAATGAAGATTTTTGGATGAGACATTCATTAATTGCATTATTCTCTTGGTACGTTATTATATTATTGGATGAACAAAACCCCACACATATTGAGAATTTAAGAATTATAACACCATTCATTTCAAAATGGAATGAAGCAGAAATTAAATCTAAACAGGAAAAAATATCCGAAGACGATATTAATGAGGATATTGATATTGAAGAAGATGATGATTCAAATGACTACATAAACATAAAATACATTAATAACAACAATGATGATGAATTAGAAGAATTTTATGATGAATCAAGTGAAAAGAAATCCAATAAAGAAGTTGAAGACAAGATGGAATTTGATTGGAATAATACAGATTCAAACGAGGATATAAACATAGAATACATTAATAACAATAATGAGGAGGAATTAGAAGAAAATGATGATGAGGATGATGAAATGGAATTTGAAGAGCCTGATGATGAAGAGTTTGAAGATCCATCGTCAATTCATAGAATAACTGAGGGAGTGAACAATCATTGGAGTTTCAATTTCCAAGAAGACCATTCATCTCTTAAAGATTTGAATGGTTTTAATTTTTAAACTAATTTATTAGTTTTTTCTTTATTTAATTAATTTTTAAGACATTTTAAAGAAAGATAAAATAAATTTAATTTAAATGCATTTTAATAAATATTAATAATAAAATGAAAGTTTCAAATAATCAATTAATTTTTATTATCCCATGGTGCTAATGTATTTATTATCCATACAATTTTCCAATATGCATGTTTTATTAATCTTTTCTGATGTTCTTCATGAATTGATGGGATTAAATTTCCAATTTGTTTTTGTAATTTGATTGCTTCTTCTAATGATGGTTGATCTATTTCATAAGCAGCAAGTGTAATAAGAATATCTTTTAAAGTAGTCATGTTTCAAATGAATAATGAGTTTCAAATGACGTATATATGATGATAAAACAAGGGCCCTAAATGATGAATATAATACAGAATAGAAAGGATAATAATAAGAATAATACAACATAATATTTAAAGGAAAAGAAAACATGAAATAACAAACAAGAATAACATGAGCAATACACAACAAAACATTTTTGAAACACAACCAAATGAAAATAATGAATTACCACCAGTATTAATAAGAGCAACTAATCCAACAATAGAAGAAGCAGCACCTAAGAAAACAAGAAATCAAAAAGATAAGATGAATCAGTATATTAAAAGACAACTAAATGATAATTTGAATGATCTTATGGAAGATATTATTTCCGAGAATAAACGATTAAGAAAAGAAATAGAGAAGATAAGAAATATGTATAATCAAGAAATGAAAACAAATGAAGAAATACGAAATGGACTATTAGAACAAAGACTAGAAGTTTTTCAAACAAACTATTAAATAATTGAATCTTTATAAATTTAGTTTATGGAATTTGATAATTTTGAAGATGATAATACAAATGAATATAGAGAAGAATATGAAGAATATGAAGATGATGATATTGGAGAAGAAGAAATAGATAAAGAAATTAAAGAAAGATTAAGTAATATTAAAGGAGAGAATCAAATTAAAAAAGTTCATCGACAAATCTTCTTTTATTATAATAGTTTTAATATTATTATTGGGAAACAAGGAGCAGGGAAAACAACATTTATAATGAAAGAATTAGCAAAACTCAATAAAATAGAACATCAATATGAAGCGATTATTTATGTATCACAAAATGCAGGAGAAGATGAAACATTTAATCAACTTAAAGGACTTATTAAAACACCAATATATGGAATGAATTATGAAAAATTTATGCCAGCATTAATGCAATATTATAAACAACCACAAGAAAAACATTTAATAATTATATTAGAAGATGCATCATTTGCATTAATGAAAGAAGACAAAACATGGGGAGAAATTATTACAAGATTAAGACATTTGAAAACAACAATTATTGTGAATTTACATATATGGAAGGCATTAAATGCATCATTTAAAACACAAATTGCAACTATTATAATATTTAAAGGATATTCTAAAGAGAATTTTGGATATATTTATAGACAAACAGCAGGATCAGCTACAAATTCTGTTGCATATTATTTATATCAAAGTATAAATCAAAATGAAGTATTAAAAATAGATAATTTAACAGGAGATTTAAGAATTATAAAAAGATAAATGAATTATTATTTTTTATTCATATACTCATGATCTTTAGCATATAAATAATCAATTAAATATTTTGTTAATCCCTTTTCATCATCTATATCTGGTTTAAGTTTTCCACCTGACCATGTAATATTTTGTTTAGATACAGAAAATTTCCCATTTCTTCCATTTTCATATCTTTTATCAACACAACATACCCATATTGAACTTACACAATCAGGAATTACTTTTGCTTTTATTAAATGAGCTAAAGCACTTGCTCCTTCTTTTCCACCAAATAATGAATGTTGAATAATTTGATTTTTAGTCATACCTAGAATAAAGAATGAATGAAATGAAAATTTTCTTTCTGTTTTTTCATATTTTGATGATTTTTGTTTTCTTTTTCCTACATTTAATGATTTACTAAATCCATTATTATTTGAAATATCATCACGTAACCCAGCAAGATGCATATATTGTTTTCTTCCAACTTCTTTAGCTTGTTTATATTCATTTTCAATATTAAATTCTTTACTCCCACCTTTTGATTTAGCATTTTTAATAATGGTTGATCGTTGAATTGATAAAATTAAATTATCACATAATATCATTATTGGATTATTAACATAATTATCTCCATTATCAATTAAATAAAACATTCCTTTAAGATCCCAATTCATTATTGGTCTGTTTAACACTGATGAAATATAACTCGTAAACATTTGTATATATTGTGTAATAGAATATTGAATAGAATTATAAATATTTTTGAAGTTAGTATTAAGAATTTGAACTAATTTTTGTAGTCTTTTATTCATTCCATTATCATCATTACCAAGCATTGTAATTAGATAATTTTTAACTTGAGATGAAATAGAATCATGTTTAAAATCTTGTATTGAATCTGGAATAGGAACATAAATTAATTGATTATTGATATACCAACTATTAGGTATGTTATTTATACTTTGCATAAGATGTTCTAAATATGGTCTAGTTTTAGTATATTTCATTGAGTTTAAATAACCAATAGTATCA